ATGTGCCACCAGAAAACTCCTAAAACTGACCACTGGTTATACCACTCCTTTGGCATATACCCAAAGGAGTCATCCTATTGTAGAGACACTTGTTTGAAACAAACCATGATTGTTGTTGCTCTTTTCACAATAGCTAAGAGATGGAGGCAACCTAAGGTGTCCCTCAATTGATGAGTGGATAATGAAAATGTTCATTTATATGATGGAGTTTTACTCAAGAGTAAAGAAAGATAAAATCATGAAATTTTCATGCAAATGGATGGAACTAGAAACTGTTATACTAAGTGAACTAACTAAGACTCAGAAAAAAAATCGACATATGTTCTCCCGGGAAGGGTATACAAGGAACCTAGGGGATAAAAGGAAAGGAGGAGCTCAAGAGAGGTAGGACCACAGGAGAAGGGTATTAGTAAGGGAGAAAGGGGGGAAATGGGGGCACCTTAAGTGGGAAAACCATGATGGAGGTGTGAGACAATGCGAGAGATAAACAATGCCTAGCTAGTTTTGAAAACCAGAGGGAACCATATTACTCCTACAACCTATTGACACATTATACCTAGTAGATCAAGAAATATATGTCTAGGTAAGGTTTATCTGAGAATAACCTGCCTTTTCCCAAGATTTATCTACATGACACACAGTAATTAAAAGTACCAGACTGGTGGAACTAGCCTTCTTGGGTATTTAACAGACATACTTTGAGGCCTATAATAATTTGGTCAGAGGGACATAAAGGACACTTTTTGCTCCTTGCCCTCCTAGGTCGACTAGTTCCAGGGGACTATAAGCATCTCTCAAAATGTCCTATAATGGTGGTATGTCACCTGTCCTCTTGATCAAGGAGGCTGAAGAGACCCCACCAGATGGACTTGAACCAGTGTCCAGTCTACAAAGAGGGGGTCAACACAGAGGAATCATTTCCTCATGCTTCCAAGCAAAGCCAACCATGGTCTAGCAGGACCTTTGACTTATCTTTACATAAGCGGAACTGGTAAAAGGCGTCAGGGGCTCCTCCCTAGCCCATGTGACCCCTGAGGAACAGATCCTCAAATGACCTTAAGAGTATAAATAAATTGGGTTATCTGGACCAACTGTATGGCCTTAAACACCCAAAAGGAAAGTATAACTAAAGATTAAAGGGGCCAATATAATTTCTTAAGAGTCCATATGCATAGCTAAAGGCTACATAACAAGCAACAATGCCAGGCAGGTGATACCTTCTTTTGCGTTGTTGGCCAGGGTGGCCAAATGGACTCCCAGATATTAACCCATCATAGAACTGGGAAAATGAACAGCAGACCCCAATCTTATCTAAAGGAATACTGACAACGGATTACTGCTGCATGCGGAACACCTGACCCTCCTAAAAGAAAGACCTCTAGATAGGCTGACTAGATTCACCAGAAGGGCAAGTAGTGGGGAATGGCTGGGGGTGCCGACAACACAGCAGACAGTAGCAGGGTATCAGAGTATAAGGGCTCTAGTTGGGGGAGGGGGGCTATGGGATGGTGCTATCTGGGAAGTGGGTCTATAGTCAAATGAGATGGTTTGGGATGTTCTGTGTTATACACACACACACACACATGAAATCAACAACTTTTTAAAAAAATGTATTATATTTGAGGAGGAAGCATGGAAATTTACATCATGCTAATTAGTAGATGTGATAAACAATACCATTAAAATCTACCCAATGACTTTATAGACATACACAGGTGCCAAGGACCCCCTACTTCTATACCTAGCAAAATCCCATTGACCCGAGAGCCTGGTTCAGAGTTAACTCACCTTCTCCTCAAAGACTTCTAGAAAACCAGGACAATTTTCCTGGGTTCTTCTCTGTGGCCTTCCAGTGCTGTGTTCATGCCTACTCCTCTCTGTGATGAGGTCATCATCCCAGAGCCCAGAACATTCATTTTATATCCCCTGCCCCCAGAGTACTGCTTGGCACATGGTGCTCAGCAGACGTTACTGAACACAATAGAATGGTGTAAGCTGGTAAGTGGTTAACAAAGTCATTTGCATCTTCACTTACAGTGTTTGTTAGTGGCATAGCTTGATATGTACAGGTGTAAGAGAATCAAGCCATGCTTTTAAAGACTAGGGCCACAATTATTCACTATGAAGTACTAACTAAACTTCAGAGGCAAGCCATGGTATTAGGTTCCATATTGATCATGCAACTTCAATGATCCTCAGAGATCCTGGCATGGGTCACATGGGGCCACAGCCATTGCTAACATACTCTGCTTACCTCCAGCACTCCCTGACCCAACCAACATTCATGGATGCTACTCCTAGGAGCAGGTACTACAAAAGGTCTGCCCTGCAGTCACTGTTTTCTAGCAGCATGCATTGAGCCCTGAACCCTGACTTGGGTTTGCTGTTGTGATTCCTGTTTCATAAACCCCATCACATTTGTCTTCAGCTAAACACTAAAGGATGTGGGGACAATTTTCCTCTCCCTCCTTCACTGATGGTGAAGAAGTGCAATGTACAGTCACAAGTGTGCCCATTGTTGTAAATCCAACACATGCCATGATTTTCTCTTAGGTCCGGGTTCTGGTGGTGCCTGCAGAGAATTATGACTACCAAATACTTCACAAAAAATCAGTAGACAAGTCCTTCGAGTTTATCACCAACTGTGGAGGAGACAGTTTTCATATTGAGTAAGTATCACTTTGTGGAAGGGCTCTGGCATGCATGGGGCATGCTCACATTCGCAGCCAGAGTGAGGTCTGAGGAGAGACTGGCCCAGGGTCCGCCTCCTTCCTCTCACCACCCAGAAGGCTGACAGTGAGTCTGGGGTCCATTCTTCCCCTGTGCCCACAATAGGCCTTGTCATGTACCAACCAGGCAAGGTGACCACCCTCAACCTTGAACTCAGCAGAGACTGACTCAATCTGAGGTCAGGGCCCACTTAGGAGGGCCTGTTGCTCCTTGCTGCTTCCTGTTTTCTGGGTGCACGTTCCTCAGTGACGCTGTGCAGATGTCCTCACTGAGAATCCCCACTCACCTCTGTGATGGGGAGTGTCCAGAGATGTGCCTTCCCTGCCCTGTCTTCTTGCATTCCTGGATGCTACCAGCCCAAATATGAGCTCTGTTGTGGATCCCAGTGCCCCCTTAGAGGCTTCTGGAAGGACCAAGGAGCTCCAGAGGCCTTGAAGACAGACCTTTCCTTTCCAGGAATATTGAATGCAAAGGCTCCAGAGTCAAACCACTGTGGATTTGAATGCCTACTTAAGTACACCACACCTCCTAGTCTCAGGACAGTCACCTGACTTCTGGGTGTCTCAGTTGTCTTACCTGTGAAATGGGCTACCACCTAATTGATTGGGTGGTTGTGAGGTTGAGATGTAGCAGAAGCTTTCTATTTAGCTTCACCTCCTCATAGTCTTTCCAGTAGTTTGTCATTATGCATGTAGATGTACTTTTAAATTAACTGCTTTACTGAGCTATGACTCATATTATTATAGAGAGTTCATCTTCTCCCAGAGTTCCCCTGGCCATCTCTGTGTGGGCCTATCCTGGAGTAGATGGTGGGGGAAAGGCTGCCTGTTTCCAGGCACATGTTATCACCATGATTTTGTTTCTACAGTCCCCAGGCAGCCTCTGGATTCTGTAAGAATTCTTCAAGGTCCCTGGTGGCCTTTTACCACAATGGTGCCTTGCCTTGTGAGTGTCATCCTGCTGGGGCCACCAGCCATCACTGTAGCCCTGAGGGCGGGCAGTGCCCTTGCCTGCCCAACATCATCGGGAGGCAATGCACACGCTGTGCAACAGGCCACTACGGATTTCCACACTGCAAGCGTAAGTGAGCATTGCCAGACCTCCAAGGCCTTCTCTAGTTCCCCAGGGATGATGTTCATCATGATAGGACATCTCAGGTTCCACTGTGTTGGGCACGTACCTGGGGGCTGATGAGGAGGTCCTGACTCAAGAGACCTGGGCTGGGCCCGAGACTCTGCATTTCTAATACACGTCCAGGTGATCTCATGCCACAAGTCCATAGACTATACTCTCAGTAACAAAGGTTCTAGAATATAAATACAAATATGAGTGTGTAGATATTAATATCAGAATCATGGACCCTTCGGTTTTATGGCACAATGAAAACTCAGATAGGAAATTCAAGGTCACATGGATATATGACTGAATGAGAAACCCTCGGACTTTTACCGAAGAACCATCCTATGGCCTGAGGTCTAGGGTCAGGCAGCGGGGAACACAGTCTGCTGCTGACAGAGTCCTACAAGGGGACCAGCCTTTGTCTGAATGGACAAGAACAATATCACTGCTTCCTTATGCCCTGACCCTTGGCCCTGGACTTGTAGTGCTCTGGGAAGCTGGGTAGCCTCTTCTGAGGCTACCAGAACCTTGCGATAAACAAGAGGCTCTGTATTAAAGTAGGGTGACAACATCATGGCAGTTTTCTTGGAGTCTCTAACCTGGAGCCAGTTGATTCAGTGGTCCCTTATTTTGGGGCCACACACTGTATCTTCCAGGAGCATTTGATGTGGTGGGTCTTGGCCTCAAGAAACCATGGTTAATAATGTCCACACTGAGGGAAAACAAAACATCTTGCCAAGACCCCTTGTAAGCTTCTGGAAATCGCAGTGGTTGGTATAGCTCAACCCTCACACAGTGTCTCTTTATCCCCTGACAGCATGCCATTGTGGTGGACGCCTTTGTGAGGAGGTGACAGGACAGTGTCTCTGCCCACCCCGTACCGTCAGGCCCCAATGTGAAGTCTGTGAGATGAATTCCTTCAACTTCCACCCCCTGGCTGGCTGTGAAGCCTGCAATTGTTCTAGGAGGGGCACCATCGAGGCAGCCATTCCTCAATGTGACAGGGAGAGCGGGCAGTGCAGGTGAGCTGAGGTACACACGTGTACCTAGATCCTATCATGCGAAGGCCAGATGCCATCTGTACACATGTGGGTCATTTTTCTCCGCTCTACCAGTGCGCTGTGCTTACTTTGGATTGGAGCTGTCCAGTGAGCATGGATTTGGGTATGTGAATTGGTTGGACCTCCAGGTTCAGGGTAGCCAGTCAAAGCCTGAGGCGGCTGGGCCACCAGTTGCCTCAGGCCAGAAGCAGCCTTTCCCACTTACTCTAATATGCTGTCATAGAAGGCTTGTGCTTTGTGGGTGCTGTGATCTAGAAGGTAGGGAAGCACTGTCCTGATGGTTTGTTTTGATTGTTAACAGGACATGATTAACTTACTTGGGAAGGGAGTCTCAACCTAGTCTAGACAATTTCTTCTAGATTGTGTCAACTTGAAAAAACTAAGCATCACAGGCATCCACAGCAGGGTTTTGTTGGGAGTAGGGAGGCAGAGAGTTGGCCACCCTCAGGGACTACCCACCAAATAAGCAGTCCAATGTACATAGTTGAGAGATGATGGCAGTATTAGTTATTTTTCCTGTAACTGTGATAAAAATACCCTGACAACAACAACTTAAAGGAGAACGTGTTTGTTTTGGCTCACGTGTTGGGGTACAGGGACGTCATGATAGCAGGAGCTTGAGGTGGCCAGTCATTTGTATCAATAGCCAGGAAACAAGAATCATGAATGTTAGCCCTCAGCTTGCCTTCTCCTTTTCACTCAGTCCAGGACCTCAGCCCATGGAAGGGTGCCACCCACAATTGAGGTGGGTCTTCCCAACTCATTTATCTGAATCTAAGTAATCTCTCACATGCAGAGGTTTATCTCCTATGTGATTCTAGATCCTGTCAATTTGACAGTTAACTATCACAGGATCAAACTTCTGCTGAGATTGCTAACAGGTTTGCATCAATGGGCCAGGTTCTGCATTAGAAGGGAGAGACTTGTGTCACCTGGTCCCAAGTGACAAGCCTGATCTCAGCAGGGCTGGGCAGTGGCCACAGGGGAAAAGAACAGGCATTGGACCACTAGAAGCAGCGGGTAAGAATTTGATTGTTTTATCGCAGGGAAATTGGGGCAGAGGATCTAGTATCCAGGCCAGCCTAGCTTGTGCAGAAGGCACAAGATTAGCAAGGAAATGGAATAAACCTAGATGTCTGTCAACAGATCAATGGAGAGCAAAAATGTGGTACATACACAATGGAATTTTATTCAGCTATAAAGAAAAATGAAATTGTGACATCTGCAGGTAAAAGGGTGGAACTGGAGAACACATTACATGAGACAACCCAGGCTCAGAAATAGTACATGTCCCTTGTGTATGTGAATGCTCGCTTATAGTTTTTACATATGTGTGTTTACGTGAGAGTGGTGAGTATGCGTATAGGTCGTGAAACTAGAAAGGGGCCATGAAAGGGGAAAAGGAGGCTCCAAGGGAGTGGAGTAGGGAGGGTCATAGAACACGTGAAAGTGGAAGGAGGAACCTTGGGGGATGAAGGGCACAAGAGGAGAGAGGGGTAAAGGGGATCAGGGAGAAGAGCGATGTGTGGGGTAACCAGACAAATTGTGTATGTATGAAACTGCCATAAAGAAAGCTGTTACTTTATATACTAACTAAAAATTCAGACAGAACTTTGCCATCCATGTGTCCCACCCTCACACAGACCTCGGGTATGGCTGGGGTGTGAGAGCCAGGAGGGGCCTCAGGGACTCCAGCTTGAGGGCAGCTCTGCTAGCTTCCTGTGGCTGCTGCAGTGCATGAGCCTGGGTGGCTCAAAGCAATAACAACTTGCTCTCCCACAGCTCTACAGGTCAGAAAGCCAAAACAAAGGTGGCCTCAGTTTTGACTTCTAGAAGTTCTGAGGGAGAACCTGCTCCATGCCCACCCTACCTCCACATCTGGTGTTGCCAGCATTCCTCAGAGCTTGTGGCTGCGTCACTCTGATCTCTGCCACATCACCACATGCTGTTTTCCCTGCATGGCTGCCTTCATGTGGTGCTCTCCTCTCTCTGTGCCTGTCTCTTCTCTGTTTGTTATAAGGACCAGACTCCAGAATAGCTCCATCTTGATTATAGCTTCAAAGATTTATTCATAAATAGCAGTCTGTTGTTGGATCCTGGGACTTAGCAGAGGATACATGTACCTTTGGTAGATACAATTCAACTCTCCACTGCAGTGATGGCCCGCCTTTCTAAGGAAGGACCCTCTACTGCAGTGACTACCAGCTCCTTTAGGCTGCTGAAACCTTGTAAGGAAGCTGAGAGACTGACGAGTCATGGAACATCCTAACTCTTTAAAACCACAGTTGTGAGTCCTACCTGACTCAGCTAGTCAGTCAACAATCAGGGACGGGCACTGGGAGATGCCCAGGCTTAATCACAGGAAGCAAAGGAACCGAGAAGTGGCTGGAAAATTTGCGTCCAGGCAGGAAGAGAAGCCAGAGAGATCATGGTCCCAAACCCAACTGCTGGTTAGCAGAACCCCAGCACTGCTCAGTGCTGCTGCTGCAGCATGTAAAGAGGGCTGTAAATTTTCTAAAATCAGATAAAATAACAGGAGGTGATGGGTGGATTTACCATAGTGTTTTAGGAAAACATTCAGAGGAATTTTGTACAAACTCTCCCTAGCCAATGACAATTTAATAAACTAGAAGTATCCTAACTCAGGACCAAGTCATGTCATATAGTTCTGCCCAGGAATGAGACCCTACTGACCCATGTCACTCTTCAACAAGATGCAAAACTGTTCATGCTGACATTTTCAGAGGCTGCAGTAAACTAATGGGACTACATAACAACGTGTGATCAAAGTGGCTTTATCTTAAAGGACTCTTCCCAGATAACATTAAAAATAAAACAAAACTTTCATTGTTTATTACATGTTGCAAATTGCACAACTCCAATGTTAATGCTGGATAATTTCTCTTTTAAATTTTAAATTGTTTTTATTCCATTTTGTGATTTTCATGTCATATAATTAGATGGTATTTAGATACCCTCCCCATTCACATCTCCTCTTACTGTCCTTTGCCCAATTTAATGTATTCTATCATATATATGTGCATATGGCCTAGAGAGTCCAATTTGTGCCCCCAAATGTCCTTCAGTGTGGGTCCATCCACTGGAGCTTGGACACCAAGAATCCCATCCTTGAAAGAGCCTAGTTGCCCCTCCCAGCAGCCATCAGTTACTGATGTTACTTAGGTTGGGTTGGGGTTTCTTACCCAGTTCCCCATGTCTATGCTGGGATTTTGTCTGGTTTGAGCTTGCATAGGACTTGTGCATGCTGTCACCGTTGTTGTGAGTTCATATGAGTATATCCTTGAAAGAGCCTAGTTGCCCCTCCCAGCAGCCATCAGTTACTGAATGTTACTTAGGTCGGGTTGGGGTTTCTTACCCAGTTACCCATGTCTATGCTGGGATTTTGTCTGGTTTGAGCTTGCATAGGACTTGTGCATGCTGTCACCGTTGTTGTGAGTTCATATGAGTAACTACTGTCCAGCTGGCTGGAAAACTCTGTTACCTTGTGGTCATTACAATCTCTTACAATCTTTGCACCCTCTCTTCCACAATGATCCCTGAACCTCGGGAGGCAGAAGTTTGATATAGGTGTCATAATCACCTTATAAAAAATTTAAAATAAACTGTGTGTGTGGGGTGCATGTCCATGTTCACGTGAATGTATGTACCTGTGTCTATGGATGTACATGCATGTGGTCATTACAATCTCTTACAATCTTTGCACCCTCTCTTCCACAATGATCCCTGAACCTCGGGAGGCAGAAATTTGATATAGGTGTCATAATCACCTTATAAAAAACTTAAAATAAACTGTGTGTGGGGGGTGCATGTCCATGTTCACGTGAATGTATGTACCTGTGTCTATGGATGTACATGCA